GAGGCAGAGATAAGAGTCAAGGGTGACCCCCCATAGGGGAGATCCCATATCTGGGAGAGTAATGTCTATGTCAACCTAGAGAGGAAAGGCTGGGAGAGGACGGGATTTGGAGGAAAGCTCTGGGGTATGCTGTGTTTGAGATCAGTCGGTCTATAAATGCTTATCAAAGTACCTATTATGTGCCAGGCACAGTGCTAAAGCCCTGGGCATATAAAAAGAGGCAGAAGGCAGTTTCTACCCTCAAGGTGTTTAAAGTCTAATGGGGGAGATTACATGCAACATATGTGTATACACACACACATACACATACATATACTTGTGTGTGTGTGTGTGTGTGTGTGTGTGTGTGTGTGTGGATAGAGAGAGACACACACATGTAAGCTATATACACTGCATAAGTAAGAAATAATTAAAAGTGGGAAGACACAAAAATTAAGAGGGATTGGGAAAGGCCTCCTGCAGAAGATGGTATTTTGGTTGGGAAGCCAGGGAGGTCAGTAGTTGGGGCAGAAGAGGGAGAGCACTCCAGGCATGGGGATGGCCAGAGAGAATGCCCAGAGCTGAGAGATGGAGGGGCTTGTTCATGGAACAGCCAGGACACTAGTGTTACTGGATCAAAGAGTATGTGTTGGGGAGTAAGGTGTGAGAAGACTGAAAAGGGAGGAGGGGGCGGGTTATGAAGGGCTTTAAACACCATCAGAGGATTTTGTGTTTGCTGCAGGAAGCAGTAGGGAGTTGCTCCTAGAGTTACTGAGCAGGGGGGTGACGTGATCGGACCTGTGCAGAGCCCCCCTTCCCCCAGCAGCTACTGTAATAGTCCACGTGTGAGGTGATGAGGGCCTGCAGCAGGGCAGGTACACAAGGATTTACAGGAGAATTATGCCAAACATTTAAAGAACAAATAGTTATTGTACTATATACACTGTTTGAAAAAGTAAGTAAAGAGTCCTTCCAAACTCCTTTTATGACATAAATATGGACTTGATAACTAAACCAGGGAAAATAAAACAGAAAAAGAAAACTACAGACCAATTTCCCTAATGAATATTGATGCAAAATTTTTAAATAATATTCTAGCAAAGAGATTACAGCAATATATCACAAAGATCATATGCTATGACCAGGTGGAATTTATACCAGGAATGCAGGGCTGGCTCAACATTGGGAAAACTACAAGGAGAATTGACTATATCAGTAACAAAAACAACAAAAATCATGCGATGATAGCAACAGATGCAAAGAAACTTTTCACAAAATACAACACCCATTCCTATTAAAACTAGCAAACATAGCAACAAATGGAGCTTCCTCAAAATAAGTACCATCTACCAAAATCAGAAGCAAATGTTTTCTGTATTAAGGATAAGCTAGAAGCTTTTCCAATAAGATCAGGGGTGAAACAAGATTGCCCATTATCAACACTAATATTCAATGTCATGCTAGAAATGCTAGCTATAGCAATAAGACAAGAAAAAGAAATTCAAGGAATAAGCATAGGCAATGAGGACACAAAGTTATCACTTTTTGCAAATGATATTATGGTTTAGTTAAAGAACACTAGAGTCAACTAAAGTATTAAATGAAACAATCAGGAACTTCAGCGAAGTTTCAGGATATAAAATAATCCCACACAAATCATCAGCATTTCTGTATATCACCCACAAAAACCTACAGGAAGAGACAGAGGGTAAAATTCCATTTAAAATAACTACAAACACTACAGAACACTTGGGAGTCTACCTGCTCAGATAAGGGAACTAAATGAACACAATTACAAAACATTTTCCACACAAATAAAGACAGTGATAAATAATTGGAGAAATATTAGTTCCTCATGGGTAGGTTTATCCAGTATGATAAAATGACAATAATCCCTAAATTAATTTGCTTATTCAGTGCCATAGCAATCAGACTGCCAAAATATACTTTATAGAGCTTGAAAAAATAATAAAATTAATCAGGAAGAGTAATAGATCAAGATTATCAACAGAACCAATAGTTTAAAAGGTGAGGGGGGATGGAAGGGACCTAGCAGTACCTGATCTTAAACTATACCACAAAGCTACAGTAATTAAAACAACTTGGTAAGAGACAGATTGATCAGTGGAATATACAGAAGCAAATGAATACTGTAGATGAACCCCAAATTTATAAACTCAAAGATCCCAGCAAGAACTCATTATTTGACAAAAACTGTTGGGAAATCTGGAAAGTAATCAGGCAGAAACTAGGCATAGATCAACATCTCATGCCACAAACCACGATACATTTTAAATGGGTACATGTTCAGACATAAAGAGTGATATCATAAGCAAATTCATGGAACATGAAATAAATTACCTGTTGCATCTATGGATATAGGAATTCATAATCAAACAAGATAGAGAGGTTCACAGAAAGTAAAGATAATTTTGATTATACAATTTTTTTTTAGGCAATTAGGGTTAAGTGACTTGCCCAGGGTCACACATCTAGTAAGCATCAAGTGTTTGGTGCGAGGTCATATTTGAACTCAGGTCCTACCGACTTCAGGGCCAGTGCTCTATCCACTGCGCCACCTAGCTGCCCCCTGATTATATAAAATTTTTTAAAGCTTTTGTGCAAACAAAACCAACATAGGTAAAATTAAGAGAAAAGCAAAGAAGAGAAACTGGGGGAAAAAATCTTTGTAGCAAGTTTCTCCAATAAAGGTCTCATTTCTAAAATGTGTAGAGAACATCAAATTTACAAGAATAAGAGTCATTCCCTGATTGATAAGTAGTGGAAGGATGTGAATAGACAGTTTTCACAGGAAGAAATCAAAGCTATCAATAGTCATGATTAAACATGTCCAATATGCAGTTGGCAATATGGAACAACCCTCAGGTTTCACCTCACACCCTGCAAATTGGCAAAATGATTTTTTTAAAAAAGGCAACAGTCCATGTTGGAGAGGTTGGAGAAGAATAGGTACACTAATCCATTGTGGGCAGAGCTGTGAAATGGCAGAACTATTTTGGAAAGCAATTTGAAATTATGCAAACAGAGTGACTAAAATGGCCCTACCCTTTAAATTTGAGACTCCATTACTGGGCTTATACCCCAAGGAAGCCATCGATAAAGGAAAAGTCCCCATGTACTCCAAAATACTTATAGCAGCACTTTTTGTGATAGCTAAGAATTGGAAATAAAGCAAATGCTCATCAATCGGGGAATAGCTAAACAAATTGTGGTACATGAACATAACAGACTGTTATTACGCTGTACAAAATTCCATGTATGAAGAATACAGAGAAGCAAGATTTCTATAAATCGATGGAGTGAAATATGAAGAGCCAAGAAAACAAAATCCATGACTACAATATAAATAGAAAGGACGATGACACTACAAAGTCAAAAGAAAATGTAACAGAATTATAAAGACCAAGCAAGGCTTGCATGAAAAGAGATGAGAAGACTCCCCCAACCTACCCTTTGTGGAGGTGCCAAGTCCACGGCTGTCCCACATGGCACGTTTTCAGACTCTTTCATTGTATCTTTCAGTTATGTTGTCATTCCCCCCCCCACCTAAAAAGTACTATTTGTCATATGAGAGGTCTCTCCGGGAAGGGAAGAGGGAAGGATACTTGGGATAACCATGGTGCTGTAAAAAACAGAAAATATCAATAAAAATGTTTTTAAAAACAAATAGTAAATTTATAAAAGTTTCAGGATATAAAATAAATTCATATAAATCATCAGCATTCCTAAGTCCAGATGTCATATTTAAAGAAATTATGAAGGAAACTTGCCCGGATCTATCAAAAATAGCAGGCAAAGTGAAAATAGAAACAATCTACCAGTCACCTCTTGAAAGGAACCCCTAAGTTAAAATTCCCAGGAACATCATAGCCAAAATCAAGTTTCCTGGTTAAATTAAGAAAAAAAAAAAACACCTGCAAGCAGCTAGTATAAAAGACCTCAGGTAATGAGGAGTCACAGTTGGGATCACACAAGATTTGGCAGCTACTACTATAAAGAAGCAGAGTTTGGAAAGCAATAATCTAAGAGGAAAAAGATATAGGTTTACAACCAAAAATTGTTTACATATTAAAAAAAGAGTAGACTTCTACAGGGGTAAGAACAGACTTTTGTGAAATAGAAGACTTTTAAGGAATCCTGAGGGAAAGACCGGAGCTGAGCAGAAGCTGAAACACAAGAATGAAGATAAACATAAAAAAGGAAATTTTCTGAGCAGTAAGAAGGATGAAGGAAGCAATGTCTACAAGAAATGAAGGCTGAAGCCAAAATACTCTCCCCTCCCCACACCCACCAGGAACTTCCTGATGGCCTTTCACTGGAGCAAATGTTTCAATCTCTGGAATGACCCCGGTTATAAAATAACTTGAAAATTTGTAGAAGACTCCCAGGGGCTGACCAGGTTTCCTCCGTCTACCTAATACTCTCCTTACATAATTCCACTCTAATTCCAAGAACTTTCCACACTTAGGCTAACGCTTGCGATTGATGGAGGCATGTTTTTAAGAGATCATATTATCTTTAAGTGGGGTGGGGTGACTTGATTGAGTAAATCATCCTCTCCTCTCCCTCACAGAAGCAGGAAGGTTAGGAAATGTAATAGGATGATTTCTCTCGAGGCTAAGAGGCCTGTGGGTCACTCAGTGGAGATGTCCGTCCAGCAGGGAGCTGGAACTCGAAAGAGAAGAGATAGAACCATGGTGGGGTCATCTCCACTGAGATGGTTACTGAATTTTGGGAGCTGATCAGAAAATCTTCACTGACAGAAGAGTATATCTCCAAAGGTGGGATTCCACTCGAAGTGTCTGGGGCTCCACAGCCATCACTTTTTACAGTATCGAGCTCCTTCACTGATAAGGAAGACACAGCTTAGGGAAGAGCACCCAGAGACTTCCTGGAGGAGGTGGCCCTTTGAGCCTATCCTGGCAAGGAAAGCACGATCTCGATCTCGAGGAGGAAGGCAGTAGGGAATGCATTTCAGGCAGGGAGACCAGGTCTGGGAGAACCAACGCCCGAGGGGACAGGCAGGAGGCGCAGGCGTCCTGGGGGTCTTCCGGATCTCACAGGGAAAAGGGACACGCCACTGCAGTGTCTACGTCCTTGGAGGACAGCTCTGCGGAGCATGCGCACAAGGTAACCCTGGCCTCTGAACTACCACGCCCAGAAGTCCTCGCGGCAGATGAAGACAAAGACCTTTTGTTGTCCCGTAACTTCCTGTACCGGAAGCTCTCGCCACCCGGAAGTTGGCCCTTTTCCCGGTTCTGTGGCCGCTGTGACCTGGCGCGCTCTCGGGGCGGACTGCGGGGGACCCTGGGGCGGGAGCGAGCGAGGTAGGTCCGGGGGCCAGGGGCCCCTCGTGCTCGGCCCGGGCCTCCCCTCCGCGCTCCGAGTTCGAGTTCTGCCTCAAGAGGGGATGCCTCAGTTTACTCCTCTGTGGAATGAGGGCGTAGCTGCTGCCGAGGGTCACGTGGGGAGGCCTCAGTCACGTGATGTGGACTCTGTGGGTTGGATCTGGGCTCAGGAAGCCCTAGTAACAATAGTTATCCTTATTATATTACTATTGTATAACATATGTTATATTATTATTAATATAAGTGTGTTCAGCACCTACTGTGTGCCAGGCACCGTGCTAAGAGCTTTATGATAATGATTACAGTTGTTACTCTTTTTAGTTTTGTAACAGCAAACATGTATTAAACACCTACTGTGTGCCAGGCACTGTGCTAAGAGCTTGGCGATGGTCGTCATCACAACTGTATGATACGTGATAATTATTGTATATAATAACTATATATTGCAGGTAGCTATTGTAATGACAGTTATTATTATAGATAACATGCATGAAGCGCCCACTGTGTGCCAGGCAGTGTCAGGAGCTTTACAGTCATCTTCACCATCGTCACAATTATATGATGTGTAATAATTGTATGTAATAACTATATCCTATGTAGTTATAATGACGTTATAGATAACACGTATTAAGCACCTGCTGTGTGCCAGGCACTGTGCTAAGCGTTTTATGAATATTAACTTATTTGATCCTCACAACAACGTTGGGAAGTAGGTGCTATCGTCATCCCCATTTTATGGTTAAGCAGACTGAGGCAGAGGTGAAGTGACTGGCCCAGCGTCACGCCACTAGTAAGTGCCTGTGTTTGATCAGGTCTTCCCAGCTCTGCGCCTGGTGCTCTCCCCACTGCGCCACCTGGCTGCTGGTTTGATAGTGGCTTCGTGATCACTTCATCGCTTCCTGCCTCAGTTTCTTCATCTGTAAAATGGGAACAAGTGCACCTACCTCCCAGGGTTGCACAAGGATGAAATGAGGCATTCTGCTGGAAGTACTCACGACCACTCCCCTATAGTTCTTTCCCTGACTTGGGCAGGGCCTCTGAACTGGGTTTTCTCCGTTTTGCCATACTTTATTTTCTTCGTGATCCTCGGTATCTTATTGCTTGCATTTAGAAATATGGTGCTGAGGCGTCCCTGGGCATCCTTGCCCTGCCGCCCTGTGAATGCCTGTCCTTATTGAGGCCACCACAGCTTCTCTGCCCCTTCTTCCTCCCCCTCCTTCCCTCTTGCTGGACTCCAGAAGAGCCTCCATCACGGCGCTCTGCAGCATCAGCAGAGCAGCCAGGATGATTGAGGCCGGGCACTGCTCTGCGGCCGTCCCTTTCCTGCAGCACCTGCATTGGCGCCAGGGGACGCATTCCTTGGCATGGCCTTTGAGACCCCGCAGTCTGCTGCCATCCTCCTTCCAGGACTGACTTCTTGGGACTCCTTGGCCAGGCTGTGGCCATCAGTCGACCCTCCATCTCCTAGCTCTCGCGGTTGCATCTGCCCACCTCTGCCTTTCAGAATCCTTGTCCCAGAATTCACCTCCATTGAGACAGATGCCTTTCCCAACCTGTTCAGTTGTTTTCAGTTGTGTCTGACTTTTCATGACCAGATTTGAGGTTTTCTTGGGATAGATCCTGAAGTGGCTTGCCATTTCCTTCTTCAGCTCACTGTACAGATGAGGAAACTGAGGCATTTAGGGTTAAGTGACTTGGGGCCACCCAGCTAGTAAGTGTCTGAGGCCAGATTTGAGCTCAGGTCTTCCTGACTCCAGACCCAGCACTCTGTATACTGTGGTGCCACCTAGCTGCCCCCTACCTGGCCCTAGGCTGTCCTGCTTTTACCCTGTGAGTGGCTTTGTATTGAGGAATGTGCATCTGGGCCTTTTACCTTTTTTTTTTTTACTTACTTATTTGTTTTTAGTTTTCAACATTCACTTCCAGAAGCTTTTGAGTTTAAAAAATTTTCTCCCCCTCCTTCCCTTCCCCCCCCTCCCCAAGACAGCTTACAATCTGATATAGGCTCTACATATACATTCATATTAAGCACATTTTCAGATTAGTCATGTTGTAAAGAAGAATTAAAACCAATAGAATGAACCATGAGAAAGAAGAAAAAAACAAAAGAAAGAGAAAATAATATGCCTCAACCTGCATTCAGACTCCATAGTTCTTTCTTTGGATGTAAATAGCATTTTCCATCATGAGGCCTTTGGCGATATCTTAGATCCTTGTATTGCTGAGAAGAATTAAGTCTATCAATATTAGTCATTGTACAGTGTGGCTGTTACTGTTTACAACGTTCTCCTGGTTCTGCTCACTTCATTCAGCATGAGACCGTACAAGTCTTTCCAGGTTTTTCTGAAGTCTGCCCGCCCATCATTTCTTATAGCACAATAGTATTCCATTACATTCATAACACAACTTGCTCAGCCATTCCCCCATTGATGGGCATCCTCTCAATTTCCAATTCTTTGCTACCTCAAAAAGAGCTGCTATAAATATTTTTGTCCATGTGGGTCCTTTTCCCATTTTTATGATCTCCTAGGGACACCTGGGCTGGTTACCTTTAGTAGAAATCTTCTGAGGTCCAGGACTCACTTATTGGTGTCTGTATGTCCCCAGTGTCTGGCGTTAAACCAAGTCCAGTGTAGATGTTTGATAGTGGGTGAATTAAGTGCTGGGGAAGAGTCCGGGGCTCCGTGGAAGGTCCATCTGAGCCATGGGGGTGAGTCTGGGAGCTGGGAGGCAAGGCCTGTCCCTCTCATGGTTTCTGTTTCTTCCCCAGCTCTCCTCGTGGATGCCCGGCCTTCCCTGAGACGTGGGAACACTGAGGAAAAGACAATGGCCCCTGTATTCCTGACAGCCAGGGCCCCCCAGGTGAGTGGGAGGCTCCTCATTCTGAAGTTTATAACCTAAGAAATGGGGGCCCCAGGGACCCCCTCATCTAAGCCCCTTGTTTTGCAGCATGGGACACTGGCTCCAAGAAGGGACAGTGTCCTGTCCTCGGGTGGGAGCCGCAGAGCCAGTGTCTGAAGTCAGGGTCTCTGAGCCTGACTCTGCAGCTCTGCCTTCCTGTGACTGGGGGCCCCATGGGGGGTTTTCCCACTTACACAGTGTTCCCGTGTTCTTGGCCAGTGTTTGCTCCTTCATTTGTCAGGGGTCCAGGTCTGGGGTTTGTTCAGCACTAACTCAGTAGACATCGTGATGGTTGCACAAGAAGCGTGATATTAACAGCAAGCATTTCTATTGCACCTAAGATTCGCAGTCCAAATCACAAAAATGGGCGAGTACAAGTCACGTGATGCCAGCTTGGAGATTCAGAAACTAGGCTTCAGAGAGAAGAAGTGCCTTGGACCACAGAGAGAGTAAAGGTTGGAGCCAGGACAGACGACAGGCTTCTAATTTCCCTTTCCTTCCCCTGCTTCCAACCCAAGACCAGAGGAGACATCGAATCACTGCTTCAGATTTGTCAGTCACACGCTTCTTGTGTTATCTGACGTCAGCAAGGCGAGGTGTTGCTCTAAGCAGGTTTGAATCAGGCTGTGATCGTCAGCACTTATGAAGTGCCTATGGTGTGCCAAGCGCTGGGGCAAGGCAATCCCTGCCCCCAGGAGCTCCAGGCTCCTGGCACTCTCCCCTTGCAAAGATGCCTGTGCAAATGAGAGAGTCTGGATAACTAGAGGCATTCTGTGGGGAAGGCCAAGCCCTGACGGGGATTGAAGCGGCTTCTTGCCGAAGCGGGGATTGTGGCTGAGACCTGCAGAGAGAGTGATGCTGAGGGAGAGAATTCAGGTGTGACAGATGGTGTTGGAGGAATTTGTGATGAGGAAGAACTAGAAAAAACGTTTGGTTATTAATGAGGCTTGTTGATAGAATGAATGTTTGTGGCATGGTGACTGGTGGTGGTACCATGAGAAGTGGGAGCCAGAGCGGCTCCTGGGCTGAGCTGGGAGGCAGCCCCCAAGGCTGGCGTCCTATGAATCTGGTCAATGCAGTTTTACATTGAAAAGGAAGGGAGGGGGAGGAGAGGGCCTGTCATGGACAAAATCATGATAACACATGCTCATCACACTGACCTCGCAGGGTCGTTAGGGGGAAGGTTCTTGGCTGTGATGATGTACACAGTTCCGAACCTAGTTCACACAGTAGGTGATCAGTAAATACTTTTCTAGGGCTGTACTGAAGGCTGAATGCTCTAGGACTCCCCACAGTCCCTGGGCACCCCCACCCTTCCTCTCAGGTTGTTATGAGGGTCCTGGGCACCCACACACATACATTTATTATTTCAGGAATTAGTGACATTCAAGGATGTGACCGTGGACTTCACCTGGGAGGAGTGGGGGTGCTTGTACCCCTCTCAAAAGAAATTATACCACGATGTGATGCTGGAGAACTACAGGAACCTGATCTGCCTGGGTAAGGATGGCCCCCGGGCGTCAGTATCTATGTGCCCATTGGGAGAGCTTCTCCTTCCTTCCTTAGTCAATGCTGTTGTCGACTGGCTGGAGTTTTACGTAATCATTGTTTGGTACACCGGCAGCAGAGATTGCTGATCTTTTCATCAAATGGTAGAGTCCTCATCACCAGGTGAAAGGTCTTTTGTTATAGAACTGGAAGCTGGCATTCTGAATGTGTCTCCCCTAAGGTTGTGTTCTCAGGTCCCCCTGGTCAAAGGTTTCTCCCCTAAAGGGCCAAGTAGAGAGGCCTGGACACCTGAAAGATTGCCGTCCTCTCGGCAGGGTCAGGCTGCGGTGAGCTCCTTTTTTCTGAGCCCAGATCTGTTTTGTGACCTAATGCACCACATTTGCCAGGAGTAAAGTATAGAACGTCCATCGGGAGTCTTTGAAACAGCCTGTGACCTTCGTTGCAGGTCCGTTTTTTTCCCCCAAGAGACGAAACACAAAGGTTGAATTCTGAACTGGAGAATCTTCCATTTCTCTTGAGCAGGACTTGAGGTTTCCGAACCACATGTGATCTATCAGCTGGAGCATGGGGAAGCACCTTTGAAGCTGGAGGGAGACATCCCCAGGACCAGCCGTCCAGGTGAGCTGGCAAATATCTAGCACAGAAGTCATTCCAAGCAGTGTCTGAGCCGGTCCATCCCTTGGGGCAGAACAGTGCCAGGGGTCTCAACTGACATGAGATTTGTGAAGTACTTAGCCCAGTGCCTGGCACATAGTAGGTGCTTAGTAAATGCCTGTTCCTGTCCCTGTCCCTTCCCTGCCAAGATTGTTTGGCCTGCACAGAAGAACCAGGCTGTCTGACCATAGGTCTTTCCTACGGCTTCTTCCCTCCAACCAGTCACTTTCCTGGCCTCTCTCCACACCCAGGGTTAGAGAGAGATGTGCCTCTGGTCAGGAATGGCTCTTTCTCTCCCTCTTTGGTCTTGGGGACCTGTTTCCACCAGCTGGTACCTCAGTGACTGCCGTGAGCCCTCATGTCTGGAGGAGCTCCTGATGGACGCCTTCCTGCTTGGCGCATTGAGGCTAAGTGATGTGGTGAGCCGGGATCATTAGGAAGGTGGTCACTGTCACTATCACTCCTTATTGTCCATGGGCACTCAAGGGCCAACCTCATTTTGTAGTTTTCAGTTTTATTGATATTTTGTGTTTTTATCGCATTCACTACCCAGGACTTCCTTCCCTCCCCTCCTACCCAGAGTCATTCCTTATGACACAGAATGAAAAAGCAAAGGGGGGGGTAGGGGTGGGGTAGGTGGCGTGGTGGATAGAGCACCAGACCTGGAGTCAGGAGGACCTGACACTAGCTATGTGACCCTAGGCAAGTCACTTGACTCTAGTTGTGTTAAAAACAAAAAAAAAGCAAACAGAAAAAAAAAAGTCAGCAAATTGTTTCCAGGGTAGCTTGACAGTATTTGCTTTACCTCTGTCATCTCTCACCTCTGCAAGGAAGGGGAATGAGCGTGCTCCACTCTTTATCGGGGCCAAGGAGGTTCCTGTCCTTAGCAGAAGAAATTGTACTGAATGTGATTTATTATCAGACTTCATGTGTGAGGAATTCATTGTTTGTAAGTATAGCCACTTGTGGTCTCCCAAGTTTGCATACTAAAAGTTCAGTGGGAGGTTTTTTCATTTTAAGATCACTGAAAGTGTGGTACCCGTCTCCCCATGATCAAAGGTAATTATAGCTTCTGTCAAGCTTCTTCCTGGCCTTTATTGGTCTCCAAGTAGAGCAGGTTGGTCCTCTCATGGCCAGAAGATCATGAGGTCCCCAGGGAGATCCATAGTGAAGGTCTGTCCTCTGAGGAGCGGGGCGCTCTGGCTGACCAGATGTTGCAGGGGGTGCTGGCTTTGCCTGGCTTTTGCTGTTAGCTTCCGTGAAAGCAATCTCTGCTGCCATAGAACTCTTGAGTGAGGTTCGGTCCTTAGAAGAGAAGGTGATTAGCCAGTGGTGCAGAGCTTAGATGCAGCCAGCAAGCCAGACTTCTCAGAGGAGCGGGTTCAGGAGTCGTTTGTTAAAGCCCAGCGAGTTCATCAGCTTGCCAACAGGTCTCTGTGGCTGGTGTTCGTGCTGTGGGCTGGAAAGATTCAGACCTTGGTGCTTGGAGTGAGGATGTAGGAGAGGATACTGGGAAGGAGGGTGTACTGCATGCCCCTTTTCCTTCTCATTAGTGCATTTCCACCTCCCCAGGCAGGAACAGATCCTCCACATGAGCCCGTCTGCCTCACCCCCCCATCATCTTTCTTCTGGACAGTGGCTATAGTGATCCTTATCTTTCAAACCAAATCTAGCAATAAAACTGCATTAAATGGACCTACAGGGGCATGTTTTGAACTAAGAATCCTGAATTGCAGGATCTGACTAAACCTTACCATCAGCTCTCTGAAGAAATCCTCATGAACTGGGTCCACTTAGTCCATGATCTGGGAGATTGCAGTGTTAATTCAGATCTGGCAGAGAGATTTATCTTGGCTAGCTTCTCCAGAGATAGCACTAGGAAATCTTTAGTTCAGAATCTAGTCCCTAGCAATTCTGGGAGGGTACAGAGCTTTTATGGCTAGCCTATTTTATATTTATATTTATATTTACTTATTTATATTTATGTTATTTATATTTTATATTGTGTCTATGTCAGCTAGCCATGACTGGCCTTGAGACTCTCAAAGAAGTCACAGCATAATGCTGACATAGAATCTCCATGGGCGTGACTCCCTTCGTCTGTTATGTTATCCCCTGACCACCACCCCCTGATAGTTTTCATGCTCTTTGAGCCCCTGTAATTATTACTGTTTTTAAAATTTAATTTCTAATTTAATAAACATTTATTTTCTCTCCTTCCCACATTCCTTACTTTTAAAAAAGGAAAAAGAAAACCCTTGTAAAAAACAATCTGTAGCCAAACAAAACAAATTCCCACATGAAGATATTATTCTGTCCCTTCCCTTCATGTGTCCCAGTCACCTTGAAGCTGTTCTGTTTTCTGTCTTTATGGAGATCAGTCTTCCTATAAAGTCTTTAACATGGGTTCAAAAAATCAACTTTATGAGCCGAACCAGAACAGTTTATACAGTAACAACATTATTCTTTCATTTCTTTTGAGCTCCTTCAATTCTGCTTTGCTCATGGAGCACAGCAACTTTTCTGATGTGGGCACGCCATGCTGGGCAGTCCTGTGCCAGTGTCTCCCATGTCCACGATCATTCCAGAGTTCTTAAGAGAGACCTTGAGAGTGTCCTTGTGTCGCTTCTGTTTCACAGACATACAGCAGTGAGGTCAGCACAATGGCCCTGTAGATCTTCAGTTTGGTCTGATACCTCTTCTCTCTTACACTTTCCTTTGGAGCCTCCCAAACACTGAGCTGGCTCTGGCAATGCATGTGTCAATCTCATTGTCAAGAGCAGTGTTCTTATTTGGTATATATTTTGACATTTGAGTTATTTTCTTTATGAACATAGTAGAACATGGGGCTAAGTATAATGCATGGGCACCAGGGAATACATACTTGTCTTTCTTTCAGATTGGAAGAGGAGCCCTGAAACCAAGGAGTTACCCCCCGAGGTGGGCACTTTTATGGAAGAATTATCCCAGATACAAGTGACTTAAGTGATGTTCACTGTTTCTTCAGAATGGGACAAAGCTGGGAATATGGGGCTGAATGTAAGAGGAAGCAGAATACAGAGGAGAAAGATCATGTACCCAATGATTTTGGAAAAGCCTCCTTCCAGAACACCAGCCTTATTGGCTGTCAGAGAATAGATGCTGTAGGTAAACCTTGTATGTGGAATGAAGATGAGAAGGGCTTCTGTCAGAACAGACGTCTTACTCAAAAACAGAAAACTCTTACAGGGGAGAAATCCTTTGCATGTGATGAATGTGGCAAGGTCTTCCACTGGAGGTCAGGACTTAGGGAGCACCGGAAAATTCATACTGCAGAGAAACCTTATGAATGTATTGAAAGTGGAAAGGCCTTCTGTCTAAATAGTATACCTATGCAGCATCAGAGAGTTCATCCTGGAGAGAAACCTTATGAGTGTAGTATATGTAGAAAGGCCTTCCGTTGGAAGTCACATCTTACTCAACATCAGACAGTTCATTCTGGTGAGAAACCTTATGTATGTAGTGAATGTGGGAAGGCTTACCACAAGAGGTCAGTGCTTACTGAACATCAGAGAACTCATACTGGAGAGAAACCTTATGAATGTAATAAATGTGGGAAGAGCTTCCGATGGAGCACACATCTTAGTCGACATCAAAGGATTCACACTGGAGAGAAACCTTATGTATGTAAGGAATGTGGGAAAGCCTTCCGACAGAGAACAGTGCTTACTGAGCATCGGAGAACTCACACAGGAGAGAAACCTTATGAATGTAACGAATGTGGAAAGTCTTTTCGATGGAGGACAGTGCTTGCAGAACATCAGAAAACCCATACTGGAGAGAAACCTTATGAATGTAATGAGTGTGGGAAGTGTTTCCATTGGAACACAAACCTTACTCGACATCAAAGAATTCACACTGGAGAGAAATTTTATGAATGTGGGAAGGCCTTCCCCCAGAAATCAGCACTTAATGAACATCAGAGGCCTCATACTGGAGAAAAACTTTATGAATGTAATGAATGTGGAAAGACCTTTCAGTGGAATACAAACCTTACACGACATCAAAGAATTCATACTGGAGAGAAACCTTATGAATGCAATGAATGTGGAAAGGCCTTTCAGCGGAATACAAACCTTACTCGACATCAAAGAATTCATACTGGAGAGAAACCTTATGAATGCAATCAATGTGGAAAGGCTTTTCGATGGAGCACAATGCTTATTGAACACCAGAGAATTCACACTGGAGAGAAACCTTATGAATGTAATGAATGTGGAAAGACCTTTCAGTGGAACACAAACCTTACTCGGCATCAGAGAACTCATACTGGAGAGAAGTCTTATGATTGTAGGAAAGTCCTCCACCAGAGAAGCCAGCTCACTGAACATCAGAACATTTGTGGTGGAGAGAAACTTTATGAATGCTATGAGTGTGGGAAGGCCTTCCACCAGAAGTCAGCACTTACTGCACATCAGAGGCCTCATACTGGAGAAAAACTTTATGAATGTAATGAATGTGGAAAGACCTTTCAGTGGAATACAAACCTTACTCGACATCAAAGAATTCATACTGGAGAGAAACCTTATGAATGCAATGAATGTGGAAAGACCTTTCGATGGAGTACAATGCTTATTGAACACCAGAGAATTCACACTGGAGAGAAACCTTATGAATGTAATGAATGTGGAAAGACCTTCCAGTGGAACACAAACCTTACTCGACATCAGAGAACTCATACTGGAGAGAAATCTTATGATTGTAGGAAAGCCCTCCATCAGAGAAGTCAGCTCACTGAACATCAGAGCGTTTGTGGTGGAGAGAAACTTTATGAGTGTAATGAGTGTGGGAAGGCCTTCCATCAGAAGGCAGGACTTACTCGACATCAGAGAACTCATACTAGAGAGAAACTTTAACAATGTAGAAAGGCATTTCACAAGAGCATAGACTTACTGGACATTAGTCCATTCATACTTGACATAAATCTTTTGAATGTATTATGTACGGGAATGCCTCCTGCCAGAAGGCTGGAGTCACCATTCTACAATTTCTGTTGGGGAAAAACAAAACACCTTAATGAATGTAATGATTTGTGAAGATTGTGGGATAGCTTTCTTCAAGAGCAATGAACTTTCTCAACTTCAGAGAATTCATTTTGGAGAGAAACCTGAATAATATGAAGTATTATGAAGAAATGTACATCAGAAGGATTTCAGAGTACATGCTCTTCTTGGAAGTTTTAGTATTTAAACTAAAAAGAATTTTTGTAAATTAAGTCAGTCTTGTTTCTCATATGGGACAATCCAAACCTTTTCATCTTTCCTCAAGCTTCTAAGTAACTCCCTCTCTTAGTATTCAGGTTTGTAGCTGATAACTTAGACTATTCATTGAGAACATGATGGCAGTCTGGTAGCAGTTGGTTCCCCAAACTTTACTCCTCCAAAATCTGCAAAATCATCACCAGCACTTTCCTCTTCCTTACAGAGGGCAACAGTTATCCCTACTCATTGCTAAAGCTTAACCTATGCCTATACTTTTGATCTCATGCAGTGTGACCTACTCTAGAACCCTATTTGACCATTCTCATTCATCAGAATATTCATTCTCTGATGCATCTTCATTTTATTCCTTTCTATTAACTCCTTACTATATTCATATATAGTCTTTTTTGGGGGGGGGGCTAGGCAGTGGGGTTAAGTGACTTGCCCAGGGTCACACAGCCAGTAAGTGTTATGTGTCTGAGGCCAGATTTGAACTCAGATCCTTCTGAATCCAGGACTAGTGCTTTATCCACTGCACCACCTAGCTGCCCCCCATATATAGTCTTAATACCTCCACCCCAGATCTCTGCCCCTTACTTGCTATCCCCATCTACCAACCACCTGATTTTTCTTCTACCTTCACTACCCAAAACTTGTTGGGGAAATAAAAAAGTGCTTCCCTTCCAAACTCAAAATCTGTGATCCTGTGAACTACCAAATGCTGTAGTCTTTTCTATCCTCATTCTTTTTCTCCCTTTCTTTGACACAGAATTTGACCCATTTAACCGTCTCCTCCTGGTTACTTTCTCTTCAGGCAACAAAAATTACTTGTTTTTCTTTTTTGCTGCTCTCTCTCTTTTACTGGCGTCTCTTTTTCCCAAGGCATTAAGGTGGATGGTCTCTGAGGCTCTCTTCTGTTCTCTGTATACCACATGCACCTTCCTTTGGAATTAAATTTGGTACTTTTATGGTCATTGAAAACTTAGAGGCTTTCAAGAATAATTTCAAACCAGGTGTGGGAGGGTGGGAAAGGGGCTTGATGCTTTGTATAGCAAGCACCTGGATCACCTTCACTGTATTTTTTAAAAAATCACTAGGTTGTTTTGTTTTTAAGGATATTTAGCTTCATTTTAAAAAATGTTTCATAAATGCATTTTATTTTGATATACCAAACCCATTTCCTGATAACCTTATTGCCTTCCCAATGACATTAGATTTATCCAGACCTTTGTTACTACTGTGGGATCTTTCCCAGCCACAGAACACTTTCAGCATCACCTTTGCTAGTGGAACAAGCTTGTCCATCAGCTCTCCTGTGACTCCATCTTTTCACCATCCCATTGACTTCTCAAACCAAAACTTTGTCCCCAACCACAGTTCTCACATTTGCCACTTGTGGAAATAGAAGCTCTTTGAAAGCAGGGATGCCTCTTTTTTTGTATTTGTCTCCCCAGAATTCAGCACACAGTACTTGCCTCCGTGGAAGTAAATGGCCCTGCTACCCTTTTGGAAGTATTAAGAAAGCATTTTTCTCTGCATCCTCCTAGGCTGAAACTTTTGGACTAATCTGAATGAGAAACTTCCTCAGTCTTTCTGGAACAGTGCCCTTCAGGAATCATTTTTTGAGGTCCGCTGGCTGAAGGTTCAGGAAGATTCACTGTTGCCCTGTTCAGTAGAGTTGGGGCATGGGTGAAGGGTGCTTCTTTCCTCCATTTAGAAGCTGTACACTCTCTCTCCACATTTGGACCCAGTTAGGGGAATGATCAGATGGAATAAGGCCTTGGAGTCTCTCAAGACTCTGAAGAACTAGAGTTCTCTCAGCCAGCTGGAAAGAGGAATTTTTAGAAAGAGTGGCCAAAGTAAGATGGGAAGGCTTAGGAAAATGAGTCTCCCAGAGTGTCCTGAAAACTAAGCGACTAGTTCTGTTTATTGGAGCAAATTATGAGGAGCTAGTAGAGTCTTCCTGAGTAGAGGCGACCTCGGGTAAGGGCCTGGCTCTCAGGGTCATGTGCAGGATCTGTCTCTAACAGACAGCTGGATCAAGTGTGGATTCTGGCTGAGATAAGGTTTTAAGGACGCTCCTTGTTTGTCCTCTCTAAACATTTGATCCTGCACACTCAGCTCTGGAGTGGGCTGATCATTGTGATGCCTGGCCTTAAATATCCCCAACTCAGAATTGAAGAAGCTGTCTCTAGAGCTAGGTCAGGAATTCTCAACTAAGCATGAGTCTAACAAAAACTCTGTCCAGGAGGCACACCTAAAGTAAAGGAATAAATAGGCCTGCCTTGTGCTATGCAGGAGTGCAAGCAGCCGCCGTGTGAGCGCCTCTTCCTGTATTTCCTTGGGCAATGGCACTGGCAATGAGCCACTTATAGTCTTGCCCTCATGAGGGATGCCTTGGCCCAGCTTGGGCTCTGGGTTGCAGGGACATGCCTCAGAGCTGAGCATATAGTAGGGTCAGGTGGGCTGCTGGGAAGAGGTGGGCAGTCCCTTGCTCCACAACCTGCCTTTCCTTCCCAAACACTCTCCTTTAGATGCCAGCCATGCCCCTTCTGAGAGCTGACTTTTTCATTGGATGATATTACTGATGGATGGAAGGGAGTGGCAGACTTTTGTCCCAACCAGGCACGCAGCTCCCCTTGCCCACTCCCCTTCCCTTCAGGGTAGGGACAAGAGCTTTAGGAGAGGAGTCTTTGGACAAAAGTTCAAGTGATGCTCTTGTCATTTACTGTCTGGAAGTCCTTTGCTTTCTAGTGGTTTCAGTTTCCTTTGGAAAAAAAGGGGGTTTGAAGGCTCTCTAAGGTACCTCTCAGCTCTGAGGCAGCTGGTGGTGCAGGGGAAAGAGTACTGGCCCTGGAATCAGGAAGCCCTGAGTTCAAATCCAGCCTCAGACACTTACTAGTTGTATGAACTTGGCCAAGTTACTTAACCTCAGTTTGCCTGTTTCCTCATCTGTAAAATGGGAATAATAGCACCTCACAAGGATGTTGTGAGGATGAAGTAAGATGCAAACCATAAAGTACTAAGTGCTTGCTGTTAATTGTGACCTTTCGTTCTGATCTGTGCACTTCCCAAGGCCCTCAGAACAGAACCAATCCACCCCCAGGACCAGTTTTTCTTCTTTCCCTCTGTGTGCTCTGAAGTCATGAAGAGCCAGTGGTTTCTTCTCCATGTTAGAATGTTGGCATCACATCTTTGTATGGCTTCCAATTGCTCAGATAAATTGACCTTTCTAGGTTTCTCTGGATGCCTGTCTTTTGTGTTTCAGAATTCCTGCTCAGCTTTGTTTTTTGTATCAGGAATGCTTGGAAGTCTTTCAATTAAAGGCCCACTTATATTTTCCCCCTAGAGGATGATATTCATTTTTGAAGGATGTTATTCTTGTACGCATCTTTTTTTGCCTTTTGAAATTTTGTCTTCCAAGCTCTCAAGTAGAAGTTGGCAGCTTTTTTTAATGTGCTTCTGCCTGTAATCCCTTGGCATGTGAACTGTTTCCTGGGGACCTGCAGTGCTTTACCTTTGATATGGGAGTTCTGGGTTTTGTTTAGAAGATTCCTGGGACTTTTCCTTTTGGAGATCCTTTCAGGAGGTGATACATGGATTCTTCCTAACTTTATTTTTTCCTGTGGTTCTGATGGATCTGGGCAGTTTTCATTTAAGATCTCTTGAAATGATGGTATCCAGGCATTTTTGGTTTAATCATTTTCAGTGACCTCTCCTTCATCTGTTTTCCAGGTCAGTTGTTTGGATATCAGATAGCTTACATTTTCTTCAGTATTTTTTCAGTCTTTTGATTTTGCTCTAACATTTCTTGCTGTCTCATGAAGTCATTGGCATCTGCCTTGTCACTTTGAGTTTTCAGGGATTGTTTCTCAAGGCAAAGTTCACTGCTTTCTCTTCTACATTACTTATCCTTTTTATCTCTTGGTCACTTTTTCTAAGACTCTTGACCTTGTGGAATATCCATTTTCCCCTTGAAGTCCCTGCTTGCGAGTTTTACTTATTCTGTCTTTTTGAGGATCTCTAGATTTTTGTACTGGGGGTTGTTTCCTTTGTCTCTTCAGCCTTAGTTCCTGAATTGGACTTCTTGTTAGGACCAGGCTCTACTCCCTGCTCTGCTCTTGGGTGGAATGGTGGACCCTGCTTGACCCACCCTAGGTACCCTGCGTTCTTATGCTGACCCTCACCTCCCAGGGTTAGGACTCCCCACCCCTAGATCTTTCAGATTCAGAATGTCGGACAGGTGGCTAGAGCCTTTGCAAGACGCTGGTGCCTAGAGTGCCCCAATCTGACCACTGCTGCACCCACACTCTACACTGCAACTCCTAGAAGCTTCCAGCCATCTCACTGTGGGGCTGTTTGACCACCCTGAGCTTTCTCAGGGGAGCCCTCTGCTCCTGCTGCTTCCAGACACAGAGCCTTGCAGGCTATGGGTGACCCTCACCATCTCTGGCCACATTGGAAGGCACCAGTACTGGCTTTTCTGGAAGGAGACCTTTTTCTAACACCTGTGGGACTCCGGGTCATTTGTGCAGTTCCAGGTGGGAAGGAATCCCTGGAGTTTCTCATTGGATTGCTTGATCATTACTTGGTCTAGTTGCAAATGCCAGAGTTTTGTTGGATAAAGTGTGGAGGAGTTGGGATGTCTCCCTCCCATTCTGACCATCCTGGTCAGAACTCAATGCT